CTAAAATGGTTTTATGAGCTTATTTCAGTCACAAACTCTCCAGATTCCTCTTATTTGGTCGCCTCGGGACGAGGACATATGGAGAATCATAAGCAGGGTGACATTTGAAGACAGTGTCCGACGTGAGAATATGAAATGAGTTTGAAAGTCTGGACATCATACTAATTTATCATCCCAGGATTTAAGAGCGGACTGTAGCTAAACTGAGATCATCAGGCTGATGAGAGACTCGGGGAAATGAGGTTTATTACTGTTCTGCTGAGACAGTGAAGCTCTGAGGATTTCTGATTGGGACTTTGGGGGTCAGCTGACTTCAGATAAAGCCTCTGATTGGTCAACAGATCATAACAAAGACGAATCACATTATAGGGATTGGATCTGGACCATCTTTGGAAACACACCGATCTTCTCTGTGTGGTTAAAAAAGACGCTGCATGATGCCTGTGAGAATCATGACTGATACTGGGTGCAATTCGTAGATGTGTCGATGCGTCGCAATGCTTCACGTGACGATTCGGCATTGATTAATTAATGTTGATGATTTGCCGCAAGGCCAGAACAGTAAAAAAATCATGCCTGAACTGTTTAGTGAGAGAGACCACGACAAACAGAGGCAACAGCTTCAGCAGCCTCCAAAGAGCGTCTGATTCTCTCGCCATCAGGGTCGACTGCAGCCGTGTGGAAGTACTTTGGATTTTATGAGAGAGCAAACAAGACGACTGACGAGACCAACGAGATTTAAAATGAAGTACCTCAGTACTTTAAGTGTGTTTCAGTTCACCGCAAACACAAGGCAGCACCTTGTACACTTTCATCCCGAAACAGAAAAGGTTCCTCCGGTCGAGCTCGCCAAACTTTCCAATTTAAGTTAAGAAGGTCAAAGTGCAAATGTTTACAAAACAGTCATACAGTCATAAAATAAAATATTTGGTGTCTTTGAAAAATACGTCAAATGTTCAAAAAAACCTTGAAAGGCTTTTTATTTACAAATGTAGCCACAGATGAAGACGAAATCCATCCTGTTTGGAAAAAAATATTTAAAAATGGCAACAATCGAAGAATCTAAGCTCCCATAATCGAACCGAATCATGAGGATCCCTTGATGGAACACCCCTCACACTGATACAGATGTTTTAAATAAATACCAGTTTAGCTGATACTGGTATTTCCTGCTTTACTTCTTTATTATGGGTTCTTGAACGACCCGTGAGATCTTAAGTATTTAGAAAAGGTGCAGCGTTTTGGACCACTCTCCTCCGTCCACCATGAGTATTTCCTCGGTTGTCATTGTCCTCTCAGAGCACTTAATAACAGGAGATACTCAGAGTTCAGTTTCCAGGACTGTTCCTCATAATCTCTGGTATTACTCTGTCCTACAGCCGGTTTCTCAACTTGTTTTCCGATCCACTTTATCTCCTCCCTGTGGTTTCGGACTCTCTGAAGTAAAAAACCGACTGCACTAAAAGTAAACCCATCCTCTTATCAGAGTCCCACTCTCACAGACAAACCACATCGTCAAAGAAAAACCCACAGCGGTGTCATCTCTCTCTCTCTGTCTCTGCAGTGCAGTCCCCGTCTAAAACTGCTGCTGTGACAGAGCTGCACTTTGTGACATAAGGCCGCCCTCCCTGAGAGCGACGAGGAGGGGATTCATTTTGTCAAAGTGTCAGCTGCATCAAACATCCAGCAGCGGCAGAGTGTCAACACTCAGGAGGAAGAGAGGACAGCTATAGAGACGGAGTGACACATCCGCCGTCAGACTCCAGCCATAAATTGCCCGGTCAGATGCTTCAACTGAACTGAACTCTGCACATTTCCTCTGCGATTCTTTAGACCGAGGAAAAAATACAACAAGCATCTCAGTCTATGTAGGACAGCATGAAATCATTGCAAATACACCCAGACATGCACATGTTTCAGGATCGGTTCAGTGGGAAATCCTGCAAAGGTGGTTTTCAGAGATGCAGTGTTAACAGGCGACAATAGAGGCCAATAAACCACCTGGTGCAGAACAAATCTTAAGTTAAATCAAGTTAATATTGTTTTTATATTTTTCTAAGTTCATCTTATTGAATTTTCTTTATTTACTTTGTATGTTAATAAAATGTTGAACTAATCTATAGTTTCTTTATTTTTTTAGTGCAGATGCTTTAAAACTGGCAGTTTAAAAAAAAATACAAAAACAAATCAGATAATAATCAAGATCAAATGATATGACAAAATATACTGTGATCTTTTTTTTGCCAAATCGCCCGGTCCTAAGAAAGTCCTGAGAAACTGTCAGCAAAGACATGGAGGCATTTCAGATTTTAGTCTAGAGTTGGACATGAGCTTTACATAAACGGTAAAATCCTGCAGCAGTGAGACAAACCTCCATCCGAACAAGTCAAGAAACTAGTCTGATCAGCAGTGAGCGCTTTTAACTCAACATCCCACAGAAGATCTTAAATGCACTTCAATAATTCGGGCCTCATCGCACACACAATGCAGCACAAGTGTCGTTGTTACTTTCCACCAGGCGTACTCGTCATTGTTACACTTACCACAGGGAGACTCTGAGCCTTAGACCAACAAACCTGGTCTAGAATCTGAAACCAGTGGTGCAGCATAGACTGGGATGTAGTGGGAGCATCAGCAAGAGAGTAAAGAGAGCAGAAAGGTCGACTTCTAGACAGAAACAGAGATGCATGGATGAAATATCAGATTTTTCTGATAAAGTGTAAATAAGTTTTTTATAAAATCAGAGGACTAGGTGATGCACTTTTTTCTTGTCTTCAAACATCCAGATTCTTCTCCCTGTTTGGGCCTGAAGACCAGGACACCAGCACCTCTCTCTCCTCTTCTACTCACCCTGCAGGTCACAGAGTCTCGCTCTGCACGTTTTCTCGAATGCATGCAGAAACAGACATGAATAAATACTGAGTGATACCACCATTAGGCATGCAACAGCCCACGAAATACAACCATTTGATCCAGCAGCAAAGAGAAGCAACATTAGTTTTCATTAGATCCTGTCCGATGTTGTTTTCTTGTGCATAAATGTTCGTACCTTATACATCGTAAACTGGAGAGAGACGTCTCTGCTGTGCAGAAGAATAATTTCAGTGGCTTTACCATCAATGGATGCACTCACATTTCTTATACAGTGACTTTTTTGTGCTCTCTGTATTATCAAGGGTCCATTTTAGCAGAAAGGCTGAAAAATAAGGCTGTGAAAAGCATCGCACCTTTCTGCAGGAGCGCCTGATTCTTAAAAGAAATGAGCGGAGTCATCGATTGGTCTGATTCATGCTATGCTCGAAACACACATGAGAATAATCAAAGGACTCGATACGACCTGCACATTATAGGCACCTAGATAAATAGATAGAAGTGGTTCACTCTGCAGCATGCACTCAGGACCGTGCATCTAACATCATTTCAGTCACTTCTTTATCTGTAAAGACTTGTGTCCTCACTGCGGTGTGAGGACAACTGTGAGCTTTGAGCCCAAGGTTGGACAACACCCACTTAACTGCAGCATGCATGTTGTTTACAGGTGCAAAACAAAAACACTGAGTAGTTCTGCAGCAATCAGGAGAGGACTCAAAGTCTGATGCATCATGACAAGTAGTTTCTGTCAATTCTGCATGTAATAATAGATATGGAATGACAGTTAGAATATTTTAATCTACTTCTAAAATCTCTTAAAGTCTAAATTTTAAGTGTCTCAAGTTGTAGGATCCTCAAACCTAGTCGAACAGTTGTAGTAAATCCTGCAAAGAGCATGGTCATTATCCAAAAGCATTATCCTGTGGTTGTAGAAAATGCCCAGCAGAATATTATCCAACTTCTGGACACGTTTGCCCGGTCTCTGCTTCTTTGTACCAGCCAAGATTTGTTCATTTTTATTTAGTTCCTGGTGCAGGAAGCGAGGCCCATTTCCCCTCTCTGTGTCCTAAAATAATCCGTACTCCAACTTCCAATTGTCTTATTTTAGGCTCTCGCTGTTCGGTGATGTGAACTTGGCACACTTTCTCTTTCTTGGCTACGTGATCCCAGCATTCATACCGCTTCAGGCTGTGTGCTCAGTTGTTTTCTTTTCTTAAATTATATGTTTTTTTTGCCCCATATTCTGTATGAGAATATCTTAGTCGAACGCTCCCATGAATCACCTGTTTAAAACACAGAGGACTGTAATGAAGAGTAGCTGCGTTATAATGTTAATATATGGTGTAGCAGGGTTCTCCCCGAACTTCAGGGCATGAATTAAACTTCATGAGATAATTCAGGGGACTGCCAGAGACGATTTCCCCTCAGTGTCAATTAAGACTTTTGCCCCTGGACTCCTCTGCCTCTTTGAACCTCTTTAACAGCGTCCCTCTCTTTACACTTATTACTCATCCCTCTCTTTCTCCTTATAGTTATTTCCACCACTAAACTCTCATTTTTATTCCACAGAGGAATCCTTCGAAGCAGATTTACCTCCTGACCTAAACTCGGGATGACAGGGGTGTACCACAGCGCGGCTGTAATAGATTTTTGTTCTTGCCAAGTTTAATTTGTCGCACACATTATTCAGACCGCGTTAAGAGATTAACAGCCAACCTCGTACACTTAAACGTCTAAATATTTGACAGAGGTTGAGCTGCTGCTTATTTTTAACTGGAGTCAATTATGAGTTCTTAAATTTTGAAATATTCAACCATCTGTGTGAAAAGTGCAGGAGTGAGCAAAGGAAAACACCTGTTCTGTGTGTTCTTGTTTTTTTATCTTTGAGAGGACCGATTTGACTCTTAGCCTTTTTTTGTTTCAAGGTGTTTAAGGTCAGAGAGGCGGGCGAGGGAATGCGTAATGCCAACTACAGTCCTCGCGAAGATAGAAGTTCAAATATATGTGTTTGTGTGTGTATGTCTGTACTTGTGTATCTATATTTGTGGGGACTAATTTGATTTTTACCCATTGTTTGTTTTAGGTGTTTAAGGTCAGAGAGGCGGGGGAATGCATAATGCCAACTTGAGTCCTCACAAAGATAGATGTTCAAGTATAGATGTTTATGTGTGTATGTTTGTACTTGTGCATCTATCTTTGTGGGGACTCATTTGATTTTTGATCTTCAAATCAAGTACCAAGGTTTGGGTTTAACTTTTTCTCTACGTGTGTTTTTTGTTTTTCTTTTTTTAATCTCACGCTATCTTTGTGAGGACCAATTTGATTTCCAAGTGGGGACAATGATTTAGGTTCGCCTGTTACTCTTCATAGATATTAGAGATAATTAGATAACTTAATAGATAATTAGAGGTCAGGAATCATAAGCTATTGGCCTTAATTGTAAACATAGTAGGTATGCTAGGTGTGTTTGCTTAGTCTTGTTTCCCTAACATTATGAGGACCATCTTCATTTTCACTTTGCAAAATGGGGACACTCCTGCAAAGTTGGTGCACTTAGAGTTTTAAGGGTTGTTTGAAAGTAGGCTACAGGTTTAATCTTGAGTCTGGTTAGTGTCAGCCTTAAACGGATGACAGTAGGCTTTTTGTTGTACTGATTAAGATCAGGGTAAGAAACACATAATGCTGAAAGATCACTCAAAGATTGCACTGCAAGATTTTCTGTGTGTGTGTGTGTGTGTATTTGTTCTTGTACGTCTATCTTTGTAGAGACCAAGTTCATCATTAAGAGTTAAACAGTACGGGACATCCGTTTAATGTGAAATTGATTCACAGCAGGCGTGACACAGTTTTCAAAGTTCATATCCCAGAGAGAGAGATAGCAGAGGAGCTGGTATGAGCGGGGTTGACCCACACACAGCTCCAAACTGATATGAAGTTTTATTATCAGACTAACTGCACAGATATCTTAATCTAGGGTCATGTAGAGGGGCAGTTATTGTCTGAGTGTGACAGTGCATCGAGACATAACCGCGCAGTTACCACTAACTCTCCGCAGACGGTTAAAAATTCACTTTAGCTGTGTTATTTTCAACTCATTTGAATTGAATGGGTCATATTGTGCCTAAAAGTAACGCACAGTGGTCATTATGCTGTATGCAAACATCACAGGTGCACAAAGAGGCTATTTGCTAGTTTCTCTGAGGTGCTTTTTTACCTTTAGTGCTTGCTTTGTTAAATATACAATGTTTTTTTGTACTATTTTTGCACAAATTTAGTGGACGCAAAAGCTCAATGTCAACAAGAGTCCTCTCAAAGATTAAAGTATTCTTTTTGCTTCAAGGTTTTGGTCCGTGCTCGGTTAAATGGAGACTTTTGTTTTTCTTTGTTTGTTTCACACTAACTGAGAGACTGGACAGTGGAAAGAGTGAAAAACTGGAAAAAGAGAGAGAGAGAAATAAGTGAGGGTTTCAGCTCAGGCCGCTGCTCCAAGCGTTATATTTTCTGAACAAGAGGTGTGCAATTTAACCACTGAGGTAATCCTGAAACCCAATAATTTACTGACTGGCTGTGGTCAAGGTCTTAAGCCTTCCTCCTCCATGTTAACAGATGGGACATGGGTCTAAATTTTAAACCAAAGGACACAACTTATAATGGTTACGGGCGTTGTAGTTACTTGATGGACAAATGATCTTTTTTCTTACAGTTTGGTTTTAAGTCGTTATTTGATAGTTTTAGATGGTTCTGTTGTCAAATATTTTTCCCTGCCATAAAAAATGTGGAAAATGGCAAAAAAGTAAATAACTCTGATGCCCGCCATCCTCATTTGATTCTGGACATTAACTCATTCAGTTCCAGGTTCATTTATGCAATTTTCACCCAGTGCCACCACTGATCAAATAAAAATTTCCGTATCTTTCAGGACCCACAGAATATCTTGTGCTTGGACTAGAATTAAGTGAAATATCTCAAAAGAAAGGGGTAAATCTCTACTTTCACCAGAATAGAAGTAAGTCTCTAACCCACTCCTGTGTCAAGTTATTGCCTGCTCAATGCACCGTGGTCATATCGTCTTTGCCGATCTGCAAAAAACACATTTTTACGAAGGAGAGAGTTTCATGCAGAACTCTGATCGTCTATTTCATTTCACTTTAAACTACTTTACCGGTGGCATCAAGTTCCTCCCTCCTCGGATACCACTCCTCATTTGATTGTGATAGGTCAATTTGTGACGGCTGGGAGTCGTATTGGCTGACCCCTGACGCCGCAACGTAAAACACACGGACAGTACCGGCACCGGTGGCACAACAACATGACGGAAAATTGTTTCTTTGATTGTCTGCTGATGATATGAAGGCCCGGTACCAAGCTCTCCACTGGATCCAGAGACGGTAGCACCGCGCTGCGACCGTTAGCTCTAGGCTAATGACTTCGGCATTTTCCGACTCTCCTCATAGAGGAAAAACACTCCCCAACAAGGCTAATTGGCGCACTTCTCACTGGCGAGTTCTTGTTTTTGTTATTGTAACATGATTATGACGTATTTGTCAGCTTCTCTGCATTCAGAACGACCCTAAACTGAGTCACATGTTGTGAAGGAGCACCCTCTGGTGGAAAACAAAAAAATTTTAAAATCCGTCAATGGCACTCAGGGCAAAAAAAAAAAATGGACAAATCAGTCATTGGTACTGAATGAGTTAATAACTTTGTAAAAATGATCAATTTTATCCAAAATGGTCTGGTTTGCTTTTGTAGACCATAAAAAAAGCTTCAATCAGTTTTTAAACATGTGCTTGTTTGGTAAAAGGGGGCGTGGCATTAATCTTTCAAATGAACCAGCCAATGCCAGACTCCCAAGAACAGCACCAGTGCAATATATCTGCAGAGACATGGAGACGTGTCCTCCATCTTTACACACAGCGAGCAGGTCACTGCAAGAAGCTAGGCTCCTACATGACAATGAGGGTCCTTGTTATGACAGAAATACAAGTATGTGTGTGTGAGTGTGCGAGTTAGAAGAAGCCTCTCAGACAATCTGCTCCATTCACCCCCTGCAGGGCCACCAACACAAATCCATTTACATCCCTGATCCTTCCTGAAGCCGCGCACACACACACACACACACACACGCTCTAAGGTGGATCTGGTTAACTGTGCAAACGCAGCGTTGCGAGTGTGAATCTGTGCCGTGACCTTTGTCCCTCCAGTCACTGTCTTCACGTTTTATGGTCGTGTCTAAAGAAGAATATCTGCAAACATGCCTGAAACAAACGACTATAATCACACACTGCCTGAAAAAAAAAGAGAGAGACCTCTAATTCATGCTGTAATCAAATCTCATCATCACACCAACACCTGTTGTTACACAGGACACATGCACAGTTAGAAAATATGGAGCATCAACCCTCCATTACCAGGACAACATGCACACACACATAAAAACAATCGATACGAACACACACACACTCACACACACTCACAGGCCTCCATTAAGCTTTCACGCTCACCTCAAACCTCCATGGTTGACCGACGCTGCTGGATTATGCTGGATTAACGGACCAAACAACAGAGTCTGACTAAGGACATCCTCAAACCGTGACTGAACACCTTGTCATCTGAAAGTAAACGCAGTGGATTAAGCGGAGGAATGAGGGGGGCGGAGCCTGGCTGTGTCAATGGCGTGTCTGTTGACAGGTGAGGGAATCATTAACCGGAGCGTCCTCAGCGAAGGATCACTGAACTTTTCCCGAGAGCACAAAACAAGCTTCACTCTGTCTCTACCTAACGCGGCGGATCATTTTTATTTTTGGCCTTTTTATTAAAAAGCTCTTTGGAATAAATGAGCCGCAGCTTGACAGCATGGCAAGTGGTTCATAAATAAAACAGTCAGTACGCTTTATCATTTCATGACACTGACAAATGCAATATTGAAACCTTATCAGCGATTCCTCCAAGAAAAGCAAAGATCCAATTTTGGTTTCTCCTCTCCTCATATCTCTCAAAATGTTCCCCGAACACCTGAGCTGAAAACTGACTAAACATTCCCCTCATTTCTCAGCGAGGTGTGGGTGTTACTTTTAATATTTTCTCTGCGGTTCAATCTCCCCACGCAGAGAGATATGAACAGATGTGCATAAAAAAAAAAAAATCCTGGAAAATATTGGAGGATTGAAAGTACGAGTTTATTTGTGTGTTTGAGCTTTGAGTGCACTTGTTTATCCGATCCGTCAGAATAGCTCCTTAAATGTTGACGAGCGTGCAGCCTTAAGTGCTTCATGTTGAACAAACAGAAAATTGGCAGCAAGAGAATAAAATAAAATCTAATACGAGAGAGATGCTGAAAGAAAACTTAAAAATACAAGAATGTGAAATGGTGTTTTTAGGCAAAGAGGTAGTTCAGGCAGGCCAAAGAGCCAAACTCAAACCTCCTTCTTGCATTTCCAGATATTTTTTAAGTGAAGGGAGAAAATCCATTTGAGCTGTTTGGTAAAACGAAGTTGTAAACTTGAGTGTCGTCGGCGTAAAATGTGAGTTTGCATGAAGTTACAAAGCGAAAGGATGCATAATGAGAATAACACAGGTCTGAGGACGCATCCTTGAGGAACACCTCAAAATCTGACCCCTTCAACATGAGGGAAGTTTATAATGTGTTTTTACTGATATTGTTAAAATAACATGAGTGTAAAAGAGGTGTATGTTCTGGGTGTCAAATGAGGGGCAACAGGACTTGAGAGTAGAACTGATTAGTCGATAATCGATTAATTGATCGTTAAGAAACCAACATTGCACAGTAGCGTTGTACACAATCGGTGGGAGAGTCGCCGAGAGTCACTGTGATGACGCTCGGCTCAAACAGCGTATCCCCCAGGTGAGCTACACAAGCTTCGTACATCCATAGGCTGTATCAGGTGTCAATCATAGAAAACATGAACCCCCTAATAACTTCTAAATATGGAGCTGTACAGGAAAAAAAGGACTTGGGCACAAACCAGTCTGACAACTACATGTCAACATCACAACCAGGGGGGAGAAACATTTCCCATAGGGATTGCTGGAGGAGGCGGGATTTATGACCTATACTGCAGCCCGTCAGCAGAGGGTGCTGTTCTCGGAGTGGCTTCACCCAGCAAGGAGGCAGACGGCGTCCATTCTATTTACAGTCTACGGGAAAAACACGTATTTGGATATTTTCTGCTGCTGACATAAAAAA